AGAAGTTAGAATGGTAATAACCTAATTCTATCTATCTTTAAGAAGTCGCTATTATGCTAACTTCTCTAAAACAAAAAAAGGATTTTGATTATTTTTAATAGTGGAGTCCTACAACTCTAATAAAAGTTTCTTGTTGGTTTATCCTTTGTAGGTTTATTTTTTTTAAAAGTACTTTAAACTGTATAAATAATGTAAAATTAAATTGATTTAAACAGCCAATCATACGAAAGTCTTCCTATAACATTATATATTTGGCAATAATTTAGGCCGGAATGATTTTTATTGAAAAGTTAGGAGAATACATGAATAGCAAAGTGAGCAATGGTCGAGTTTTCCGGAATGGCAATGATCACCCGCGAAAGTAGCAATTGTGATTGCACTGGGGTCGCCGTGGTGGTTCCCACTTGCCGCAGCAAGCCGGCTGAGCGAAGAAATAATTGAATCACGTGTTATTTATCTAGGAGTGGGTTGGGTGGGTCACGGGACTTTTTTGGTTCGAGCATTGGCCCTGTTCTTGGTCCTAGAATCTGATATGTAGCAGTAATGTAACACTAAGGCCAAAAATGCTACTAAGGCCGTTCGAAGCTGATTCTTCGGTTAACGTCACCCCCCCTACCCAAGAGTTCTAAAGGTGACGTTAACCGAAAATTCAATTGCAGGCGGCCTAATGCTACTAATGCGCTACTAGTGCTAATCAGTTCTAATAGAAATGGACTAGGTGCTGGGAAAAGGGCGGAAAATGACAAAAAAAAAGTTCAGAAAATCAATTTTTATATTATGAATCTTATAATAAATAATAAGAAATTGCAAAATTTATTAATACAACTACTTTTATATCATAAGTAAAAAAATGATTAATTTTATTCTAATTAATTATGCAAAAAAATCGGGTGAAAAAAATTGGTATTTTTTGGCCCTTTTTCCAGCCCAAATAATAGTTCAAGTTACAATATAAATCATTAGAACTACTAATTCTGATCAGATATACAAGCTTTAATAGAAATAGTAAAGATATTAGATAATTATAACTAGTATATAGTAGCGAAGGACCATAATATCTTAAAATATATAAATAGTTTCAAAAATCACTCCTGTAAAAAAATAAATAACGTGTTTCATATACAAATATCTCGAATAGTTAATAAACTAGTTATAGTGTCTCCATACACGAATAACTTGAGTGCTTTATTGAATGAATTATAAACTTGTTATACGACTACGTACTTTTACCTTCATATACATTTAGCCATTTCCTCTTTCGTAATTGCAAATCACCTTAATCCTCTTAAATCGTAATCTTATATTTTACTTAAGCATAAATTGGTATTGTTATTAATTACTTAACCTATCACTAAAGTAAAACCGTTATACCGAGGTAGTTTTGGGTGTAACAGTACTTATCGTACGCCTGATTTCTTTCAGCGTCATTCCTGTTCCTGCTTGGTTTGCGCAAATACATTTGTCAATGACATGTGTTGTTGATGCGTGCATCTGAACTTCCCACGCCGTTTGGTCCTTCACATGTGTAGGCATTGTGAGGCTGGTAGTTGAGGCTGTCGTGTGGCTGTTTCTCTTTTCGACCATGTGATCTACTATCACTACCGCTACGCATTAATCATACGATTGAAGATGTAGCGGTAGTTGCAAAATAGAACCCATCTTGTTTCAGACATGTTTCTAAGCCGCCATCATCTAATTTCATATACTATCACTGAAAAATATACTACCGTTAAATGTTCTTGTGGCTTCGTTTGATCGATCTAGTAACGATTAGCAGATGCATGCTAAAGTTGTATATTTATGTGATTATCACATTACTGCATTCAATCCGGTTTTTAATCAGCAAATTATTCGGCAAACATAATTTTAGCGAGGTATTTTATAAATAAAAATGAATGTATTTAGAATACTTTTAGAATCCGCTAAAGATGGTAATTCTTGTGGGCAATGTTATCTTGGATTATGCTATGAAAAAGGTATAGGAACTACTAACAATAGAAAGAAGGCATTTGAATGGTATTTAAAATCTGCTGAAGGTGGTAATTCTAATGGACAATATAATCTTGGAAGATGCTATGAAAAAGGCATAGGTGTTTCTAAGAATAGAAAGAAGGCATTTGAGTGGTATTTAAAATCCGCTGAAGGTGGTAACCCTAGTGGGCAATATAATCTTGGACTTTGTTATAAAAATGGCGTAGGTATTACTAAGGATGAAAAGAAGGAATTTGAATGGTATTTAAAATCTGCTGAAGCTGGTAATCCCCGTGGGCAATGTAATCTTGGATTCTGTTACACGCATGGAATAGGTACTACTAAGAACGACAAAAAGGCATTTGAGTGGTATTTAAAATCCGCTGAAGGTGGTGATTCTCGTGGACAATTTCATCTTGGATTATGTTATGGAAATGGAATAGGCACCACTAAAGATGAAAAAAAAGCATTCTTATGGTATTTAAAATCCGCTGAAGGTGGTAATTCTAGTGGGCAATCTAATCTTGGATATTGTTATAAAAATGGCATAGGTACTACTAAGGATGAAAAGAAGGCATTTGAATGGTATTTAAAATCTGCTAAAGGTGGTAATTCTGGTGGGAAAAGCAGTCTTGGATTTTGCTATGAAAAAGGTATAGGCACTAATAAGGACAAAAAGAAGGCATTTGAGTGGTATTTAAAATCTGCTGAAGATGGTAATTCCCGTGGGCAAATTAATCTTGGATTCTGTTACAGGAATGGTATAGGCACTACTAGGAATGAAAAGAAAGCATTTGAATGGTTTTTAAAATCTGCTGAAAGTGGCGAGTCCTTTGGGCAACGTACCCTTGGAAACTGCTATGAAAAAGGCTTGGGCACTACTAAGGATGAAAACAAAGCATTTGAGTGGTATTTAAAATCCGCTAAAGGCGGCAATGCTAAGGGACAATGTAATCTTGGATTCTGCTATCAATGTGGCATAGGCACTACTAAGGATGAAAATAAGGCATTCGAATGGTATTTAAAATCTGCTAAAGGTGGTGATTCTCATGGACAATGTAGTCTTGGATTTTGTTACGATAAAGGTATAGGCACCGTTAGAGACGAAAAGAAGGCATTTGAGTGGTATTTAAAATCTGCCAAAGGTGGCGATTCTATGGGACAAAATAATGTTGGAATTTATTATGAAGTCGGCAAAATTTTTACTAAAGATGAAAAAAAAGCATTCGAGTGGTATTTAAAATCAGCTGAAGGTGGTAGTCCAGAGGGGCAATATAAACTTGGATTGTGTTATCGAAATGGTATTGGAACATTATCCGATCAGGAAAAGGCTAATGAATGGTTGAAAAAATCGAAAAATAACAAATATCAAAAAATAGTTAATTATGATGACGATGATATTGATGATTTTCTAAAAAAATTTTTGAACGAAAATAAATTATCAATAACATGGATTCCATTTAGTGAATTAAAAATTATAGAAAAAATAGGAAAAGGAGGGTTTGCGACTGTATATTCTGCTACGCGATCACAGTCTTTAATAGGTGGCAATGTTAATAATGAACCTGTTGCGCTTAAATTATTTCATGGATCAAAAAATAGTTGTAAGAAACTCATAAAAGAGGTAAATATTTAGTGACATAAAGTTTATTATTAAATGTTTTCACACTAATAATCTATATAAAATTTAAAGCTAAATGCATATTCTAACATTGGAAGTAAAAACGCAACTTTTTTACAATGCCATGGAGTATCAAAAGATGAAGCTACTGGTGATTATATTTTAGTTATTCAATACGCAAGAATGGGGTCATTACGTCAGAATCTTAACACTATTGCACAAATGAAATGGAAAAAAAAAATAGAATTATTATCTTATATTGCATTTGACCTTCAAATAATTCATTCGCACGATATTATTCATTGTGATTTACATGGTGGTAATATATTACAAAATGATTTGCATAATGCTTATATTGGTGATTTAGGCTTTGCAAAATCAGTCAACAATTTATTAGACACAAAATCTGAAGGAATTTATGGCGTGTTGCCATATATTGCTCCTGAAGTTTTACAAGGAAATCAATTTACTAAAGCATCAGATATTTATTCTTTTGGAATGATTATGTGGGAGATTGCTTCAGGAAATGTTGTATATCATGATTATAAAAATAATAATCATAATAATTTAGACTTAGAAATAGAAATTCGCGATGGATTAAGACCGACTATTCCTAAGGGTACGCCACATTTTTATATAGAACTTTTAAAAAAATGTTGGGATAGTGACCCCAAAAGACGTCTAACTGCTTTAGAGATTTATGAAATTATTGAAACCTGGAAAAATAACGCAGAATACTTATTTGACTGTCTAAAATGTGATGAAGAGACAGCAACAAAAAATGCGAATTATAATATTGATGGCGATACAATTTATAGTAGCCAATTCATTAGACATATTAGCCAGAGTTCGAATAAATCACTTGACATATGTGAGGTTATTTCTGACAATAATATTTATATTAAATCTATTGAAAAAGAATTTAGTAAAGATATTTAGATTTATATCTAATTAGCTGTTTATTTATATGACCAAAACATTAATGTGCTAATTTCTAAAGGAATAACTACGTATAAATAGGGCTTGCGTCTTGTGATTAGTGTCTTTTAATTTAAAGTGCTTAGAATAACATGTTCCGCCTACTTATGGTTATGGACCCACATCATAGCCATGGTAAGTGGTTACAATTGAATCATTACTCAATGGACTTTGTTTTATAAATAATATTTCACAATGAATATTTTTATATAAGTAAAATGACATGGAAATTATTTATCAGTTTTGGTCATCAATTTTAGAGACCCCTATCAAGAATGTACCCACTTCCAAATAAATAAAAATCCATTAACAAGTAATCGATAATTTGATTTAGGGAAATTACATATCAGGGCCTGAAAATAATTGATATAAGGATCCAAAATTTGACAAATAATACGATCAAGGGTCCGAATTTATTGATTGCAATTTGCTTTTAACAGTTAAATGTGTTACTTTTTAATCATTATTTCATTTATTCTCTTAGCGTCTTGCATAACTGCTTTTGACAATTCCTAGAATTAATTTAAGTTTTCTATGAATTTTTGCGGTTCTAAATATCTTCTATTAACGCGTAGCAACTTTCAAAAAAATGTGATTCATGTTTCGTAACTAGCCTTGGTATAGGATAGACATGCTAATTTAGAACCGATTAAACTTTACGTACAATACTGATAAATATGTGCTTAATTATTCAAGAACTATATTTTGAGTTAAAGAAAGTTTTAAGTGAAAGAGAGTAATAATATAAAATGCATAAAGTAGCACATACTGTATATAAACCGATCAAAATACCACTATCATAATACCGCCAAATTAATTTTGCCACATTTTTTATATACATAGATGCAAATTTTTTAGTGCAGTGTAACATATCCAGCAAATAAAAATGCAGAAAAACTTAATATAATTGTAAATTTTGTTAATAAATGTAAAATTTATGTTTTTTTTATATATAGTTGTGCTCGGAAAACTGCGACTCGGTCACTCCACAATCCAAAATCTCGTGTAACGTACGATAGGTAACCTTTACGAAAGAGGGTGTTAGATTTGGCTGGTGGGTGATTAAGGTTTCGGTTACTTGAGGTCAACTAAGTCCAACAGGGTAGATCACGTGGTCAAGAACAGTGATGTTTATAGGGGGTTTATATGGTCTATACTGGTAGTAGTGTTAGTGTTTTATTATGGACGATGTATATTATTGGGACTTATTATTTAATAAAGCCAACGAAGCACTATCGCTCCTAAGGGCCATTTCGGCCTTTAATGCTATTTAAAATGAATTATTTAAAATTTTTAATAATGTTCAATTTGTTTTTACTTCCTCCCCTTATCCCCACCTATCCCTCTGCATCCGAAATACCAGTTCCGATCACAAATGTAATTTTATTGCACTTATTGCATTTCATGCATTTTTCACGTGATCGGTCACGATATTCCGGTATCACAATATAATGCCAAAAATTTGATCACTATGTAAATTTAAATTAATATACTGTTCTAATACAAATGTTTAAAAATTTTTTTGTAGATTTGATACTTTGCTAAAATCTTATATTTTTGCGAAAGCATCAAAATATTTAGATTTGGTGTAAATAATTAATAATATAGGTCGCTAAGAGGAAATTTTCATAGTAAATCACAACTTTAGTTTCTTACTAGCACTATTAACGAGGTTTTTTGAACAAACTACGGATTTTTTGTGTTTTGTCAAAAAACCTCGTTAATAGTGCTAGTAAAAAACTAAATCTGTGATTTACTATGAAGATTTCCTCTTAGCGACCTATATTATTAATCATTTACACCAAATCTAAAATATTTTGATGCTTTCGCAAAAATGTAAG